TGGTTGCTCGGTCAATGAATGCCAAATGTGTCCTTATAGGGAAACGGTTAATATTACCATGACCATTATCCTTGCCAATAAATACACGGACATACTAGAGACATTTTCTATGTCCATAGTTCCCCTCCTTTCCTCTTTTTTCTATTTTCCTGACAAATTGTTTTAAGAGCAAGACTTTATAAATTTCAACCGAAAGCAGCATTGGCTGCTCGGTCAATGAATGCCAAATATTTCCTTATAGGGAAAGGACTAGTATTACTAACAGGCTGACTGAAAGTTTATACACATTCGCTCCTGTTATTCGCGGTTTACATGAACAGCTAGTATAAACATAATTTGCAATTCACATACACTACAATTCAAAACTATGAAGCAATCCCAGGATTAGCATGGGATGAACTAGACAGAATGAAAAAAATGACAAAGAGCTCTTCAGAGTCATTGAAAAAAGAATTAGCATGGATAAACTTGACAGAAGAGTGAAACCCTTCCATCCAAACAAATGAAAAAAAAAATGAAAATAAAAAAACTCTAAGAGTCTTTGAAAAAAGAATAGAATAAATTATCAGAAACTTATACTTTGAGAAACGTTCGCATTGAATGCCAAAAAATCGTACTGCAATAATCAGGGATAAAGGAGGATATTTTGACGAGAACCAAATTTAATCATAAAGTGCTTTTTTTCTTTTTGTCATAATAAGATTTCTAATAAAAATCATGTCTCATTTTTTTTAACCATGCATAATTTTCTCTTATTTAAAGTACAACACATCTACATTTGGGGGCAATTTAAAAAAATTGCCAGGGGTCACCTCAAACTTTTGAACTGTAGTGTATGTAGAAAAATATCACTACAAGTTACAGAAACTGTTAAATATAAAAAGTATCATTTCTCTATGATAAAAGATAAGGAGTTATCATTGTTTATATTTACATTTAAACGAAAGACCTTATTTTTGTTGTTAGTATGACAACGTTTCTTTGCGACCTCTAGCTTGTACTAGATCCAGTATTGTCCTACGGGACAAGAGCCGATATAATTCAAGCATTGAATTTGGAGACAGTAATCGTGAGTTCAATCGTTGGTTAGGGCAACACAAACTCAGGCTCAAAGGAAAAAAGTGTAGAAATAATTGAACAGTACTAAAAAGAGCAGGAGGTGAGATACATAGACATCGGATTAAGTAAAATCTACCACAATAGATTAAATAAAGAGTTCACTTCGAATTTCCCTGAAAATTACACGGATTGACAGACATTTAGGGAAGGTCGGAGAGTATAACCTTCAAATTGTTGCGATTATAATAACATTGATGAAGATGTAATTAATGTAAATAATAATTATAAATATATAAATATTCTTGAATATTCTATTATTTCCAACTATCGTTCTCATTTCGGTTAATGTAGATTTTATTATAAACACAACGTTTCGACCAAGTCGTTGCCGAATATTCGGGTGCACCTCGATATTTCCTTCTCAGAGTAATGAGTCCTATGTTGGATCTGAAGAGACGTCCGCAGCCACGACATAGTAGGTTAGGAAGATTCAGGGAATGGAGAAATCTGGCTTTTCTTTGGTCTCTATTCGTATCTTCAAGTTGTCTTCTGGTGTTTTCGAAGGATGTTACATTTCGTGGATTGCTCTTGTCCAGTTGGTACTTTAGAAGATGAAAAGGCTAAGCATGAGATGCTATAGCTGTGAATTTTTTCAGGTAGTCCATAAGTCGTCACTCCATGGCACATACAATTCAGCTGACACCATCCACTGCGGCGAACCAGGGCTTCATAGACAGGTTCAGGAAGACTGCTTGCTGCCGACTTGTTCTCGGACGTAGAACCTGGATTTGATCGCCTAGCCACTGGGCGTTGGATCGTGTTTACTCTGGTCCCTTCCCCTAATCGTTACCGCCATGGGTGACCCTATTAGGAGACGGAGCTTCCGACGGCATTACATTTAGGTTCCTCGTGACGCGCAAACACCTCCACTACGATACACTATATACACATTATATACATTACGTGTTTTAAAAGCTCAAAAAATTACTCTCTGGTCATCATCAGATGTTCATTGATTGTTTTGTTATTTTGCCTCCTGTGATGTCAGTTATTGTTCATTCTTAATGAATCCGTGTTTCACTAACTGATCTAAAGATTGAACTCTTATGAGTCTAGATCAAAGTAACACATGCATATTAAACTCCAATACCGCCCAGAAGAAAATTAGGCCAATTTCAATGATTCATGGCTCATTCAAAAGTACTAGAAAAATTAGGCGCATGGAACGATTTTCGTTGATCACAGATTCAGGGTTGCCAGATTATGCGAGGTTAAAAATATATATTAATATATTATACTAGCCATTATCGTTACTTTCATAGTTCAAGGAGAGTAACTCTTATTTAAAGACGATTTGATGTATGTAGATCTTTATTTTCCATACAAACAATTATTTTTATTTCATGAGAGAACAGGGTACAATTTATAAGATAGAATTAATATAGTGTAAAGATGGGAAAATAGAATTAGTTATACATTCAACATTTGAAGAGTTAGAGAAACATAATAGCTAATTAAGTAAAACCTATATTATGGAATCTATTAGAACAATTGGAGGTCAATACTTCCACGAATTCTGAGATTACAAAGCCCCAGCCTTACTTTATAGCAATTTATACGCTATGCATTATATATTACTTACTTCTAGGCAATATCACTCTTTAGGTTTAACTAATTTTCATATTGATTTTTAAAAGTTTATTTCATTAATATCTGTCCTTCATTATTGTTCTTTTATTCGAGTATTGTTTTGATTTTCATATCAAAAATAGTTCTGTTTACGAATATTGTCTTGTATAGTGCAGAAAAGTATTTGAAATTCGCATTTTACCTGGCCTTCAAAAAGTTGGCATCTATTTGTAAAACTTTCCTTATTTACGACAAGCCAACTTTTTTTTGTTTCAAAGATTTCGAATTGTCAATATATCTTACTTTGCGAATCGATATCGAGTCAGCGAAACCTGCTAGTTATTTATATTATTCACACTTCGTAACAATAGAAGTGTATTGACAATTACTCATCTCTGAAATAAGATAATAAAATTACAAATATTCTTACTTCAAGATTAGAATATCAAAAACTTGTTTGGCTCCAACAATGTAACATTTATTGCTAGGGAAACTAGTGTCATTTCATCATTAGCGAGCGGACTCCAAATCTTCACCAATTCCGATGAACGGGTGGCCTAGTATCTGGTCACCTATTAGGGCTTAAATACAACCCAGACTTCAAGTGGATCCATCGCTAAAGATACTGGAAAAATGATCGGTTCCTCGCACCGCTTCAATAAATACCGGGCACCCCAGTCTATCCTCTTCCTTTTACAATAGCCATATCAGGCCAAAAATGGAGTACTGCTACCATATATGGACAGGAACTACCCAGTTTTGATTATCTAGTCACTATAGACACTAAATTCGTTTCCGTGTTCTTGTGGGTGATGAATTATTTTCTACTCTACAGCCCCTTTCCCACAAGCAAAATGTCGCAAGCCTCTTGATGGAGGGTGTTCAGATGAACTACATTCCTTAGTTCCGCTAGTTCTAACCTTGACGGATAAGACACAACGTGTCACGCACATTGTAGCGAACTACGTTCATTCCTTTTGTATTCCATTGGTGAAAGGTAAATTCCACTCGGGCAGCATCTTCCCACGAGTCGCTGCTTTGTGGAACCCACTCCCAAGAAGATGCTTCCGTAATCATTACGATTTTAATCTGTTCAAGTCTAGGGTTAACCATTATCTTTTCCACATTTCCCCCTAAACTGTGCCTCTTAATATGTAAAACTCTATCTCGTTTGGCTCTGGAGCCTTATAAAAAAAAAGTTTATTGATTGTGAAGAGGGTTAATCTTATATTGAGTGTTTTCTTGCATCAAAACTTAAGAATTTTATGCCAGTGGAGTCAATTAATAGATTGGATAATGTTTACATTAATGATGAGATATATATATATATATATATATATATATATAGGTAGCATATCTTCATGCGAACATGTTTCATTGAATAATATAGACATAGTATGTCCACTTATTTTTATACTGATCCTTCAATCAATCAACACTCAACAAAATTTATTACGAATATAGCAACAACATATTAAAGTGCATATAACGTTTAATGGCATTTTACATTTCTACCGATTCCCGGTCAGTTCCTTTATATTGAAACGCCTGTTTTGAAAAAATTGCATAACTATAACGGATACCTTAAAATTTTTTAAATGTCTATAACAGGGCACGTGTTTTTATAACTCAGCATCATAACGGAATGCAGATTTTATCGCAGTTACAATAAGTTTGTCTTTTTAATTGTTTGATCTTAGAAAAGGTCGAAAGTACTTGGGTTAAGAAAAAATTCGGCACTTTCCATGATGGAATTCATCTTGACATGAAGAAAATGATTAGATCAGTATAAAAATAAGTATACACAAGCTGTCTATATTATTCAATGAAACACACACACACACACACACACACACACATATATATATATATATATATATATATATATATATATATATATATATCAGTGAGTTATGTATCTTCCGATACATGACTGACGAGGCAGATTTTTTTCCCGCAGTAGTTTGCCATTTCTTTCTGCGGTAGACCAGTTGCAATCCAAGGCTATAGAACCCGGTCTGCTCTGCTATTTACCCATAGCTGGGGTGGGGATGAAGAATACGATTAATACCTTTCCCAAGGGTATGAGCACGTAAGTGAATGTAATGGATTCGACTGGAATTCGAACTCGGCACTCCGATTCCTCAATCCAAGCCGCTATCCATTACTCCTTCCTATATATATCACTTAAGACTAAACAAGCTTTTGTTTCTTTTCCATTTTCAAATACAACAGGATTTTCTTTCCATCCTCATATTTTTTGTTATGAACTTATATTTCGTATAATAATATCAACTATTCAATTTATCAGATCAATATCTGGATAAGTAATTTGGAATGAATGCCGATAAATGAGAGTTTCCGATTTTGTTTCTGATCTGCCGGCGAGGTTGCCACAGAAACAGTATAGATAGGAAAGAAAGAAAGAAAGAAAGAAAGAAAGAAAGAAAAATTGGTACCGGAAAAAAAACTAATGTAATATTGAACGTGAGCAAGACAAGAATAAATAAGATTTCAACGACAAAGAGTTTACGACTCGGCTGACTTCGTTCTGGAGAGGAAAAGAGACGAAGAAGGAATCAATATTTGCAGATGTGAGCTTCTCGTGTCACCTAGCATTCTTCGTGCTGCATCTTCCTCCGATGTTTCACATCGATAAATGATCATATCTCTAATGAAGCGACATGCTATCTGATTGAGAAATTACGTTTGCTGCACAAAATGACTCCAATGTACTTAGACAAAAGAAGACTAATAAAAAATAAAGAGAAGAAAATGTAGAAAAAAAAAAAACTTGAGAAAGGACGTTTGGTCTGTTTAATACCCTGACACAAAATCCAGTCTTAACTTTATTACTGAAGTCCATCTACAAATTAGTTCATTAGCTAATTTACCGAATAAAGCTAATTTAGCGAAATTAGTCAAGGTTATTCTAACTTAGTGTTTCAGCATATTTATTGCCTGTTTGCAAATTCCGGTAAATTAAGCTCCGATAACATAAAAAAAAATGCAAAATTTGTAATCAGTACTATAGCGGGAACATGATCAACATTGTAACTAATATGGAATGATAATATGGAACGATAATATGGAATGATATTAAGTAGAAATGTTTCTTTTTTTACTTTGAAGGAACATATCACACTTGAGAAGATTGGTTCGAGACATTTAATAGAATTACTTGAACAATAAGTATAATGTAATTATTTAAACAATTCTGCGAGGAATAGAATAGTTCATTTGGTTTAGAATTTTTTTTTATACCAGTTCACCTACTGTCCGGTTCACACTCCTCCTCGGTCTATTTTAATAGGAGTAGAGGTTTCCTGTTTCGGACAGGTTTTCCGGTTTTTTCTAAAATCTACTGCAACATTTGTTTATCACCTATTTCTTTTTTAGGATTTGGTTTCCGGTTCCTTCTAAAATCTACTGCAACATTATACTTCTAAGATCTCCGTCTGAATCCTGAAATTTTATTTACTATTTATTTATGTATTTTCCTCAAGAGGATTTGATAGGTTCACACATTGCCCGTTTTTTTTTTTTTTTTTTTTAACAAGATTTGTTTATCATCTGTTTCTTTTTTAGGATTTGGTTTCCGGTTCCTTCTAAAGTCTACTGCAACATTATACTTATGACAATCTCCGCCTGAACTTTGAAATTTTATATACTATTTGATACGAGTAGATAAGTTCCCCTATTGTCTGGATCACACTCCTCCACCGTCCTTTGAACAGGTCTATCGCTTGTTTAGGATTAGGTTTCCGCTTTCTTTTAAAGTCATTTTCATTCTTTTTCACTCCTTGAATCCCCTTGCATCTTAGTGTTACTATCGCCGTATTTAGGAAGTATCCTCTTTGGAGTCGGTTCCAAAAAGCAGCGAGTGGAGCTTACATCTCACCAAAGGAATACGAAAGTAATGACGATGGTTCGCTGTAATGTGCATGGCATAGCATGGCGGGTCTTATCTTTGAAGGTTAGAATTGGTGGAACTAAGGAATGTAGTTCGTCTGAACACTTTCTATGGAACTGCCGATAGAGTACCGAGAGAATTTCGAAAAGAAAAAAATATATTAGATATTGTATAAAAAAAAAACTAAATAAAAGTACTTTGACGTATTCAATGAAATATGCCTGAAAGAAGGATTGCTGCCTAAATACACACGCACACGCACACACACACACACACACACACACACACACACACATACACACACACACACACACATATATATATATATATATATATATATATATGTGTGTGTGTGTGTGTAATTTTATCTTACACTTGGTTTTTCTTTAACTTCCTTGTCTCATACTTCCCTACTTTGCATTTTCCTTCGCCTTCTCTTTTTGCCTTTTCACATTTATTTCCTTCTAAATATTATTATCTGTTATTTTTTTCGTTGGGAAGCTTAAGGAAATCCAACTCAGAAAGTTCATGGATCGAGCAAATGCTGATCCTACTTAGAAAACCCTCGCGTCGTATAGGCAAACAGAGTAAAGATAATTATAAATTATTCTAAACTTTATTCTAGCGGATGAGAATAATTAGAAATAATGCCAGATTAAAGTAATAAGTATTGCGGGTGAAATATAGAATAACCATTAATTCCATCATTATAAATACAAAAATAAAATTACTGAAATATAAACTTGAACAATTAATGCAGTGATTCTCAATCGTAGTTCTGTGGCACGCTAGTGTGCCGCGAGATCCTCTTAAGTGTGCTGCGAAATATTGTCACAGCATAAATGTGTGTGTGTGTGTGTGTGGCTGTTAACACAGAGTCCTGGGAGAGCCTGGCAGCCATACGATCCAAATGGAGAGGAACCCTGACCAAACACGTCAAGTCAGGGGAGGAGAAGCTGACACAAGTCGCCACAGAAAGGCGGGCCCGGACAAAGCAAACTGACAGCTCCAACAGACCAGAGACAGAACACACATGCAACCTCTGCAACAGAGATTGTCGCTCTCGCATTGGCCTCTACAGTCACAGACCTCGATGCCCCATCCAAGCAGACAACTAGGATGCTACCCATGGTCAACCCTGACTGACAGAAGCTTACCAAAAGAAAAAAAAGTGTGGAAGTAGTAATGGTACGGTGTTTGTATTTGAATAAATGAATAAGTATCAAACATTTTTTCAAATAAATTCATAAATATTCCTTCTAATATTGAACTTCAGTTATGTAAAGAAGAATTAACCAATATTTAGAAATTGTGGCCAATTTTCGACGACTCAAAATAAAACATTCAAGAGTACACATCGAAATATTTTGGATTTCAATACAAAAGAATATCCCACATTAACTAAATTATTTAATTCTTATGTATGTGAATTAGGCTTCACAATCCTAAATAACATGAAAAATAAGAAGCGAGAAAGACTCCACTCAACTGAAGAAGAAATAAGGGTTTGCTTATCGCACATTCGACTAAATGCTGAAAAAAAATCGGGAAAAAAACACCAGGCACAGGTAAATAAGCTAAATAAGCTTCACAAATAGTTGAATAGAAAAATTGAAATAAAGCAAGTTCATATTTGTGTGTGTATTTAAAAAAAATCTATGGTTTTCTTTCATAATGTATACCTTTTAAAAATGTTGCTAAGTACGCCATGATATTTTCGTTTGTTCCTAGATGCGCTGTTGCTTAAAAAATTGAGAAACACTCAATTAATATAACAAAAACAGCTATATATATATATATATATATATATATATATATATATATGTGTGTGTGTGTGTGTGTTTCATAAAAGACCACGGTAAAGGTACTGAGATTGAGTTTTTTATTTATTTTTTGTGTTCGACAAAGTATTTTCATTTGTATAAAAACTGTCCAAATGTCCTATAATTCCGAGCGCTTTCGGCTATACTTTTATCCATTATCAAGGATGATTTTATTTTACTTTTTAACTGGATGCATCGGTTGTGTGTCTGTTTCTAGAGTTAGAGAGATGTTTTATTTCCAGAACACACTTATCACATCGTGACCGTGATCGTAGTTAGTATTACTGATTGTTGGCTTTTTCTTTTTTTTTTATTATTAAGGCCCCCATTATTTTTAATCGTTTTTTTACATATGGGTTTGGTCAATATGCTTGTATTTTATACAAGTATGTTTCGGATTGGGTGTGATAAGTTTGTGCGTGCTTTTAAATAGGTTCTGATTGAGCTGTGGTCGGATAGGTACAATGTAATGCGTCACGCTACTACATGTCTGGATAGACATATAGTAGCATGACTTATATATATATATATATATATATATATATATATATATATAAAGGATGATTTGAGATAATCATAATTAAGTAATTCATCAAGTCTAAAAGAAACCTCAACAGAATGCAGAAAGCACTGGACGTCCGTTTGAATTACTTAATTATAATTATCTCAAATACTCCTAATAATGTCTATTACTTGTATAACTTTGCTTGAACCGCCTTCTAATGCTTTGGATGGAGCGGCTTGAGGGTAGTAGTCGTGGCTCGTGAGGGCACAGTCATACTGGTAAGGGAAATCTAGATGAGTTCCACCACAGAATATGGGAACGAACGGCGCTATATCGAGTCTAATTCGTTACCTCTTCGCCACCGAGGCTCGTTGGTGCAGTTGGTATGACGCTTGCCTCATGTCATAACTGTCCAGGTTACAATTCTCGGAAGTGGATGCGCACTGCTGGTGAGTCCCAAATATAGGACGAAACGGCTGTCCAGTGCTTTCTGCATTCTGTTGAGGTTTCTTCTAAACTTGATGAATTAATTATGTATGAAAAGCTGTTACACGAAATGTTTGCCTCGAAATTTTGTATTATAAAAATAATCATACTCCCAATACATTCATAATCTTACAGATAAACTATAACAGAACTTTTACATTATATCAAAATATGGTCCCTCTGCAGTATAACATAATTTTTGTTAAATTGATTTGTTAAGCTGGATTCTAGAAAGACATTTGACTTATAATATTAAAAAAAAGAAACAAATAAGAAACAAATATTATTAAAAAAAGAAGATCAACAAAATATATTAAAAGAAATTAAACAAAAAAGAAATAAAGAATATTTTAAAAAAGAAACAAGAAAATAAAATAAAAATGAAATGCGTTTTCTTAAAAATAGAAACAAAATAAAAGCAAAAATATTAAACGAAAAAACAAAACAGGTAGCGTTTTGAAACAAATGAAATGGCAAATCGTTGTAAAGAAAAGAAAAAAAATTATATATATATATATATATATATGTGTGTGTGTGTGTGTGTGTGTGTGTGTGTGTGTGTGTGTGTGTGTGTGTGAGCATAGATTGATAGTAGATAAGGTGAGAGATATAGGCATATATCTGTTAAAATAGACAAAATAATACCGCTATAGGTGTATATAGATAGATACATATATATATATATATATATATATATATATATATATATATATATATATATATATATGTGTGTGTGTGTGTACGTGTGTGCACTTGTGTGTGTGTGTTTTGAACTATAAAACGTATTACAAAATTAAAATTTTCAGATACACTGGGTTCCTCGACTATACATACATACATATATATATATATATATATATATATATATATATATATATATATATATATATATATATATATATTTAGGCCGCATATCTTCATTCAAGCATGTTTGGTTGAATAATGTAAACATTGTTTTTATTTTCATTTTAATCCTCCCTGCTTTTTTTTTAATTCACGGATCAATTTCTCCGTGCTGTTACAAAATTGAGCAATAAAGATGCCGTAGTTTCGTTTATTTCTTTTTTTTTTACCGAAATACTTTCAATCTCATCTAAAATCATCTTCAGGGGTGAATTGCTAAGACAAAAATTAATGTAATTGATAGTTATGAATTTTTTTTTGTAAATGAAACGCGTTCCGTTATAGTCAATTTAAATTAAGAATATATAAGGGAGGTAACTTAGTTTAAATTTTTAATTGTTAATGCTTTAAAAATACTCAGTCTGCAATTCTTTTAAAATACACACACACACATATACATATAGCATAACAGATATATATATATATATTTATACACACACATACACACACATATATATATATATATAGCTTAACTGGTATATATATATATATATATATATATATATATATATATATATATATATATATATAGTTTATGAAAAACTAGGTAATCCGTATGGGTAAACCTAAGGAGGATAAAATCCAGAGAGCTCAAAAGTAAATCCAGGGCAAAATAATTTAAATAAAACAGACCACTTTATGGTTCCATGTAATAAATTATTTTTTCCACGGCCTTTTAAGGACTCGGATCATCAGACTTTACTTCCAAAGGATTCAACCTTTGGAAGTAAAGTCTGATGATCCGCAGTCCTTTAAAAGGGCCGTGAAATAATTTATTACATGGAACCTTAAAGTGGTCTGTTTTTATTTAATATATATATATATATATATATATATATATATATATATTACTAGACGCACTGAATATATATAATAGATAGATAGATATACAGACTGACAGACATAGATATATACCTAACTACCAAATAGGATATGACTTTGTTCATGTAAAATCAAAATTCAGAACTCAAAATAAAAATTTTCCACATATTTAAATAAAAAAAAAACGAAGAGAAAAAACACACAGTATGAACAACAAAAGCACATAAAAAAATAAACCAGTTTTAAAAGAAATCACTTCAAAAGACGTTTTAATGTACACATATTACAGAAAGCTGTTATCGTCTGAGAAGCTGATTGCGTTAGCGGCGCGCAAACAGCATTTTCCACAGTTTTCGTGCGATTTTTCCCGCTTTCGTTTTTTTGCGTTTTTGCTAATTACTCTGACGCGTTTGATTGGATTTGGCGGGAAAAGGATTAACGATTAGTGACCAGTAAAAAGTAGTTATGTCTTATTAACTTGCATTATCTTTCTCTTTCCCCGCTTTCCTCAATCTCTGAACCTCTTCCTCCTGCACCGCCTTCTTTTTTTTTCTCCCTTTAACTGATTAACTTTTCGGTGATACCTCTTTCTCTGGCGGCTCCTCTGCTGCTGTTGTCGCTGCGGCCGTTGTCATTGTTTTTGTTTGGCGTAATTTGTTTATTTCTTCGCTTATTTATTCGCTTATGTGTTTGCGTTCGGAAAACAAGAAAGTAATTCGTTCCGTTCGGTTCTGATAATTGTCTTTGCTTATTTTTGTTCTCATTTATAAACGATTGATGAGCGCGGTACACTTGAAAGGAAAACGGAAATCACGGAATAACTGAAATAAGAGCAAATCTTTCTGGCGGGGTTGCATCCATTACACACACACACACACACACACACACACACACACACACACACACACACACACACACATATATATATATGCATGTATGCATGTATATATATATATATATATATATATATATATATATATACATACATGCATAAATATATATATATATATATATATATATATATCAGAATAAATATAAATATAGTGTTTTTGTGAAAATGAGAAGCGTATATATATATATATATAGAGAGAGAGAGAGATGAACAGACTGATATATATATATATATATATATATATATATATATATATAGAGAGAGAGAGAGAGAGAGAGAGAGGAGGGTTGGAGAGAAATACACTGAAACAGATGCGGAGACACTGAAATGTAGAAATAAATTTGAATACTGCGATACCGTGAGAAAAGAGAAGCCTATATAGATAGATAGATAAATTGATAGATATGAACAGAATGATGTAGATAGATAGATAGATAGATAGATAGATAGAGATTGATAAGCTGACAGATATAGTCATGTACCTAAGAAGATAGACAGAGCGTACTTTACTAGTTATATATATATATATATATATATATATATATATATATATATATATATATATATATATATATATATATATATTTTTTTTCCTACTCAGTAACCCCCCACCTTTTAGTGTCTATGGCTTTATTGACTTGCATGGGGTGAAATATTTGAAGATCGAGATATACATAGATAGTAGAAGTGATATATATTCATATATGTATATATATATATATATATATATATATATATATATATATATAGAGAGAGAGAGAGAGACAGAGAGACAGAGAGAGAGAGAGGGAGAGAGAGAGAAAGAAATAGCTAGATAGAGAGATAGATTGAAAGGCAGTCAAACAGATAGACACACCTAAGGAAGTTATAACATAATAATGAAGAGTAAGTAAAGGCCTGCATTAATAAAAGCTGATAAAATTTGAAGAAGTCGAAGATGAAAGAAATAACAATAAAGAGGGAAATTACAGTTGGAAAAATGTCTTCAATATAATTTCAAGAGTGTGGCATAATCCCTTAACGCTTTGGAGAAGAAAGGCTAAATTAAGAAAATATTAAAAAAGAAGAAAAAAGCGGCAAGTCAACCAGCGAGGGTGTATTAGTGAGTGAAACGTGTGACTGTAAGAGAGGGTGAAAAAGTAACAAAGAGAAGAGATATCGAAAGAAAGGATAGAAGAAAAAAGAAAAGGTCAAGAAGAGGGGGAAAGGAAGAGAGAGATAGAGATAGAGAGTGAAGAACAGAATAAGAATGAAGGAAAAAAGAGAATATTGAAAATTGTTCTGAAGAAATAATCTTTTAAGGTATTTTTTCTTCTATTATTAGATTTTATTTCGGCAACGCTTTTTCGACATTACTAAATTAGCTGAATCCAAATGTTGGTTATTTTCACAATTAGTTTAAAGTCCCTTGCAAAGCAGTCAGTAATTAGCCAAACAGATTGTAGATAACTATTAAACGAAATATTCCGACGAGAAGAAATGAGTGACAAAAACAAGATAAAAAAAAAAAAGAAATACGAAAATGAGGAAAAAATACGAATAAAAGAAAATCATTCTTGAAGACTATCATGGAAGGGAGGAGAAAAAAATCGGGTGCGGCTTGAGAAAGGACCACTGGAAGGGAAAAAAGAACAAAAAGTGGAAGAGATTTAAACAAACAAAAAACAAACAAAGAAAGAAAGAAAGAAAGAAAGAAAGAAAGAAAGAAAGAAAAAAGAGTAATAGGAAGAATCAAGATACTAGAAGTAAAACGTGAGCAAAGACAGCGGATATGTAGTGATAAACTGAATTTTCAGACAATAAAATAAAGGAAAATGAAGAAGTGAAACCAAAAAGAGGGAAAACATGTCAAGGACAAGAAAGAGAGAAAATGAAAAAAAGAACAGGAAAGAAAAGAAAAAAAATTAAATGAAAGAAGAATAATGCAAAAGTGCATATTTAAAGAAAAGAAAGAAAAATAATGAATGCAGCTAAAGCAATAAAACATGAAGAAGAAAATAAAATAAAAGAAAAGAAAATTGCACAAAATTGAAAGGATTTATTTTTCGTTTCGTTTTTCCATTTTTTTTTTCTATGAAATATGGCAACCACAGCTGAAGCCAAAAAATAAACACGAAACAAATTCAATGTCAGAAAAGAAATGAATAAAAAAATGAAAGTTAATATGACAAAATATAAACAAAAGATATAATACGATGAAGGAAACAGATAGAAAATTTAGGGCCAAACTAAAATGATAACAAAGAAAGTGAGCAGCTAAATGAATGAAAAGGAAGGACATATGAAAAATAACATATTTAGTTCGGTTTGTTTAACGGCATATCAACTGTATATGGGTCATTTAATACCAAAATTTAATTTTGGTGTTTTTTTTTTTTGTTTTTTGTTTTTGTAATTCATTTTTCAAAAATGTATTCTTGGTAATTTTTCTCTTCCTTTTCCAAAAAAGGTTTTGCCAATTTGAAAAAAAAAAAAAAAAAAATGAAGTACGGATTAAACGGAAAAAACAAAACAAAAATGGAGAATAGATCTAAAAGAAAAACTGAAAGAAAATAGAGAAAGGAGTTAAAGGAATAAAAGGAAGGAAAATAAAAAACAAAAGCTGAAAGAAAAAAAAGGAATGAAAAAATGAAGAATTGAGTTAGAGGAAGGAGAAAAAAAAGGAGAAGTGAAGAATAGATGTAAAAAAAAGAAAGAAAATGATGAAAGGAGTTAAATGAAGAAAAAACGAAGGAAAATGAAGAACACAACTAGCAATGGTAGGAAAAGTCATTCATTGATTTCCTTGTTACGGTTTATCAACCCATTGTGGGTTATTTAAAGCCGAAAACACTTCTGGATTGTAAGAAACAGTCTTTTTGTTTTTGGGAATTAATGTTCCATTAACAACATTCTTTTTGAGAATAACTATTTTTTTTTAAATACAAGTCTTATTATTTAATCCGTTGCTGGGGGAGATGGATTCATTCCTTTCCCAAGAAAAGTAATGGCAACGAACCTAACTGGAATTCGTACTTGGCTCAAGATTTCTCATTCCGATACGCCATCCCTACTCCATCCGAACATGCACAGGGAAAAACGCAAAAGGATGCTGTTTGAGAATAGAAATAAATGAAGAATGTCAAAGAACAGAGGCAGAAGAGAAAAGGAAGAGAAATGAAGACATCTAAAGGTAAAAAAAAAATACAAATAAAAGACCCAATCCAGTTTTCTTTGGCAATAATTGGTGAATATTCCGTCTTTCAAACAATTTAAGTCTTTGAGTCTAAAAGGGCAAATTAAGACACTAATGACGATTGAAGTAATAAACAGAATTTAGATAGACATCTGTTTTCTAAATTACTTTTCGATTTTTTCCTGTATTTTACCTTTTATTTAAAACAACTTTTTATCTTTCTTTATTTTCAATTGATTTTCTTTTTTGTCACTCGCTTCAGCTTTTCGAATATCTTTTTTTCTTTTAAACTATTATTTAATCTTTTATTTTTCTACCATGTTTTTTCTTTTCTTTCCATTCATCTTTTCCGTTATGTATTCCTTCAACTGATCTCTAAATTTTTCTTCTTATTCTTTCTCTTTTCTTTTTCTTTTTATATTGTCCTCTTGTTTTTCTTCTTTCCTGTTATATTCTTTGTGTCTTCTACTGTTTCTTCTTCATCTTTATCTTCTTCTTCTTTATTGTCACCTTATCTTTCTTCTTCCTTTATCCTCTCTCCTTCTTTGCCATCTGTTATTAGTTTTCCGTCTGAATTCATGGTATTAGGAGTTATCATTATTTACACTATTTACATTCGGACTATTGTCTTATACAATAAATTAGCACCCGGATTCTGAAATATTTCACGTTTCTTTTCAGATCTTCTATTATCATAATACGGGATACCTAATGACAAAAGTGATGAAAAATAAACAAAGAGGAACTAAATATAAGTGTCTAGAGTATAGACTCGAATACATATTTATTGAAAAGTTTAAAATTTCAGCGTCCCTTTAATTTGGTGTGAATGTGTAGTCCTATCAAGGTAAACATGATTTTACGACGATCACTCCCAAATGGACAAAATTTATTACACAAATTTTTGTCCACCTTTGTCATTGATTTTCCTTGCATTATTCGGGTATATAAAAACTATATATAATTTCCTCTCTCTCTCTATCATCCTCTCTCTCTCTTTCTCTCTCAACACCTGAGATAAATCCTCTTGAAAATGACTAAAGAAGTGTCCGACAGCGCTTAGAACAATACAGACAATGTGTGAACTCCCTCACAGAAACAAAATAGAAATGTAATAATGCTAGAAAAACTCAATAAAAATTAATTAAATTTTCATAGTACTGAACTATTATGTAATATCAGTTCTCCTATATGGCAGTGAATGAATTAGTAGATTTACCTGAAATTGTCTATTTCTCAACTGGAATGGCTTAGAGAAATTTGAAACCCATCAAGAGTACAAATTATGGGAAATAAACATACTGATGTGGATCAATTTTTACCCCAAGAAAATGGTAATGCACATATTGATTTGGATATTAGTCTGTGATTTCTAGATGAAGAATAGGCTTGTAACATCAAAAATGTGGTTCTACAGAAGATACGGTGAATACTATGTAGTGAACATGTAAGCAACGACGAAGTTTTAGGGAAAATGGATACCAAGAGGAAAATTTTATAAAACTGTATTGGATTAATCAATAAACATCCATTAGTTCTTTGGAAATTGATTGTTTACATTTCTGATATGAAACTGAGCAGCTATAAACTTTCAGGAATCGAAACGTGAAAGATGTGCTTAAAAGGCAGTACAGAACCTTGCATAAACGAAGTTGCTCCTTGTGGCCGAGTCGATTAAATGCACGTCGGATTTAACGATATATATTTATTGTATATTGAGAACTCCTCATCTCAAAAATCAAAACAAGATTATTAATATTTCTTTGTGGTAAAATATATGCGTATAAGTTTTTTTTACTTAAGAAATGAAAGTTGTCGTGAATGGCCACTCTTCTAGATCTTTTTGAATTAATGCAGGTGTCCCCCAGGGATCTATCTTTGACCCTACGTTGTTTCTAATTTTCATAAATGTCCTTGCTGATGTCATCAGTTTTCAACTCTGTTTCTAAGCTGATAACACAACTATTTACTCCTGTCATGATTTTACAGTTGAAATATCTAGACATAACCGTAAGTTCTATTCTAAAGGTTTCTTCTTTCATACTTCTCGCTTGTAGAAATCTCTCCTAGCTTCTTGCTTTTCAGTCAACTTTGATTTTCAAAAAATAAAATGCAATGCCAATCGTTATCTTCCGTCTTCTTAATTCCAATTCTTTTAGTGTTCCTTCTCTTTAGTAATGTTTTCTTTTTCTGATATTCTCTCATGCTCAGTAACACCTTGTGTCTTAGTGGTTTTCTTGCCTTAAGGTCCTCGACAAAATCCAGAGATGGATGTAGTTCCAATCTTTAAGAACTCAGACCGACCGTCTGATCTTTCCAACTATCGGCTTATGCGCCTCCTAACTCTTTTTGTCAAAGTCCTTGAGGCTCAAATCTACTCAGCATCTAATTGGTTCAGCATCTAACCTCGTATTGTCTTCTTTCAAATAAGCAATATGCTTTTCGCTTCTCTATAGTATTTCTGTACGAATTTTTGAACTGATTCAGTCCTTCTTATCAAATCGCAATATGCAAGTTCTCTTGAATGGCCACTCTTCTAGATCTTTTTTTAATTAATCCAGGTATTCCTCGGAGATCTATCAGTGGACCTAGATTGTTCCTAATCCGATAAGTTCGAGTTGGCAGCTGATCTAAAAATGATCTAAAATCTGTTGCTAACTGGGGTAAGAAATAGCTTGCTATTTCTAACGCATTCAAAACGAAACTGCTCTCATTTAGTCGTGTGAGAGAACACTTTTTGCCTCTCATCGGCATGACTAATGCGAACCTCAAGGAGTGACCCATTGCATCTTCCAGGCTATCATTTTCCACTGACATGGAATGGAAAGATTATATTGAATCAGTTGGTAATCTGCTACTAGGAAAGTTGCTAAGTCTACTACTCTTACATATTTTATAAATTGCCCTTTCTTTGAATATTGCTGCCACATCTGCTCTGGTGCTTCTGCTATATATTTAGAATTTCTTGATAAAATACAAAGTAAATCTGCAATATTATTGGCTCTGACCTGGTATCACGGTTTTAGTCATTTTCCCGTTCCTTTTTTAAATAAATACTTTCATGGGAATAGTTCTGATGATCTTTCTTCTATGGTACCTAGACTTATGAATTTAAGCGCAGTACTAAATTGGCGGAAAGGTCTCATCATTTTACAGATGAAATGGCTATATGTTACCGTAAGTTCTATGTTAACAGTTTTTTTTCTCTCGCATATCTCCCTTGCGGGACTCTCTCCCGGTTTCTTTCTTTCCAGTCAACTTTGATCTTCAAAAATTTAAATGCAATGTCAATCATTATCTTCTATCTTAATCCCTGTACTTTTATTGTTCTCTTTCTTTAATAATGGTTTTTCTCATATTATCTAACACCTTGCATCTTAGTGACTTTATTGCCTTGCCTGCGATGAGTTGATTAAAAAAAGTAGCATAACACTATCATCCTTATCTTTATTTTGAGACTGTTCAGAGTTTGAAATCGTGACGTCTTCCATGAATACGTTAGTTAGATCTAGTAACAGGACCCAAAGAGTGTGAGTTCAATACCTAGTTAAGGTGGTGGAGAACTTGGAGAGGGGAATTAACAGGAGTTAACTGATAACTGGCATCAATTAGATATGGCACGTGGAACTAGAACAGTCTACCCCAGCGAGCGAAATAAACGGTTCGGTTCGACATTCCAACCACCTGAAGAAGGCCGGAGCGTACAACGGCCGAAACGTTATGATAAATATAGTAACAAAGATGAGGACAATAGTCCGAATAATGTAAATTAGCGTGATACATTTTTAAATCACTAATTTCCCATGTTTAGCCTTGTGCTGTGAGCTGGTTGAATAGTTAAATACAACCGAAAATCTATAATAGGCAGATTGTGCCTCAGCGGATTTAAATAAGAGATATATTTTAATATTATTTGGTTTTGTCTCCTAGCAAGTTACAAGCAAACGGAAAACGTACCTCATGATCAACTTTCAAAAGGCAAATTCTAATGTGGTATATCTAGATGTGGGACATCAAATAAAATGATTTTAGCAAACAAAAATGGACAGTGATCGTTGTGATAAAGTAAGCAAATTTCGAAGGTGCAGTGTAAAACAGTAGGGAGGCTTTTTTTGTGCTAAGCCACTCACTGGAACCGTATTTCCCAAAACATATTCTGGGCTTCCTGCAGTTCATTTCGTAACTCTAGTAGGAGCGTGAGTCGTGTAGAACACTTTTATACTTAACCAAAAGACCGTAACCCAATTATGGGCTTGGTTCTTCTTCTAAGGGTCCTGTTCGGCGACCATCAACAAGATGAACAAAGAAAAAACTGTGAACAAAATAGCCATTAATTATAACGTGTTATTTGAGAATCTCAAACAAAATGATTTAAATGCGTAAGTAGATTTACCTGAAATTGCCTCTTTCTCAGCTGGAACGGCTTAGAGGACTTTGAACGGCTTAGAGGAGTGCAAATTATGTGCAATCAACATGCTGACGTGGAACAATTCTTACCCCAAGGGAATGATAATCCACATATTAGTTTGGACATTAGTCATTGACTTCATATGGAAATGTAGGTTGGTTGGTTGA